AAAAAAAAAAAAAGATTCAAGAGATTTCTTTATTAAAGTCCCTGCTCAACTTCCAGTTAGCAACTTTCTCAAGATGTCTCTAACAGTTCTATTCATGTGCAAATAACAAAACCAATGTCCATCTCCAAACTGACAGGAGAGCTGACAACCAACCTTAGGAAACAAATGAAAAGCTATGGGGCTTTTTGTAAGTAGTAGGAAGCCCGACTGTCTTTTAGTAGGAACATCATGGCCACCAACGCGGTAGCAAAAATCTGCTGCTATGAGTGATTCTGTAATATCTCTAGGACTTTGTACTCAAAACTGTACATTACAGAAAGGAGGATGTGACTGACCAAACCAGGGCTCACTGCCAAAAAGGGGGAAGAAAAGTGTTTAACTCCACTAGCTTGTGTATTCCTCCCCATAATGACTGCCCATAGATTCTAAGTCTCCAAAATCAGAAAACGAATAAGATACAGCCAAAATGAAAACAGGAAAACATGACCAATGTCCATTATAACTCCCAGATCCTACACCAGCTGACTATGAAAGGTATGCTTATAATTCAAAATGGAATTTCCAGGCACTAATGCTTAGATAATCTCAAAAAAACATCATATAGCGTATACTCAGAAAAGAAGTTATCACTTATTTTAATTTTGGGGGACTACATTCTGGGACTAGAGAAAACAGGGACAAGTTCTAAAGGCAGAAAATGTGTTGATTTCTGAAGTAAATTTAATTTATTCTATAAAATATAAAAATTATACCATCAACATTAGCCTAAGGAATTCCAAGACCTCTGTTTTAAGTAGGTGATTTAATTATACAAGCATTTAAAGTTGATTTTTTAAAAATAACGTTTGTATTTTCCTTTTTTTTTCAATGAGAGTTATATAGCATCTATGAAAGAAAGAAAAAGACTTTCAAACTGACATTTTTAGGACATGTCTTTAATAAAGGACAATCAGAGGAAACTAAGAAGTCCACACCATATGGTAGCATAATTCAAGTTGAGATCTTGGCAGCAACAATAAATAATAGCAATTACTAACGGCAATTAGTATTTATTGAATGAGCACCACAGGAGGTTCTCTTCTAAGTACTTCATATATTTTTGCCAATCCTCTCAATAACCCTTCCTAGGAAGTACGGAGACTATCCCCATTTCGCATATGATGAAACACAAAGGCTAAGTAAGTGGCCCCTGGCCTCACACACAGCTGGAAACTGGTGTGGTCAGGACATAAGCCCAGAGCGTGAGTTCTACAGCAGTCTGTCCAGCTGCCTCCCTTAAGCTGCGGCAATGTAGTTGAGCTCTAGCTTTATAAATATCAAATATATTTGCTATTCTACCCCACATACAGAGATATGATTAATGTTAAAAAATAATCAGGCCAAATATTTCATCATCTGGCAAACACCCTTTAAAAATCAATTCTAAACACTAATCTCTCAAAAAACATCATATTTGAACAAAAGGGAAAAAAGATCAATCTTCTAAGTCTTTTGTCTAGTTGTCCCAAAGTGAAAATCTGCTTCACAGAAACATCTCCGAATTCCTTAACTATACTCAAATTCAGAAAGGATGATATACACGTACAAGCTATCAGAGGTTTCAATAAGCCCGAGAAAAGACCTCCTAAGAGGTTCCTGAAAACTAATTAAATACACATAAGGTTCTACAAGCAATCTGGATTCCCATAATAACTATGCTATATACTCTAATAGCAACTATATCTTCATTTATATTTTGATTATATTTCAAAGGTGACCTTCCTCTTCCCTCAACTTTAAAGCACAAGAACTTAAACAGAAGGCAATACCAGGTATATGCCAAAGCCTACAGAGAATTATGGGAGTCCAGGGCTGCAGGAATTCCTTCTTTAAAAATTCAAGTAATGCATCTAGGGCCTAGATCTAGGGGTGTCCAACCTGTGGCCCATAGGCTGCATGCAGATTATTTGAGGCCTGTTTTGCTTATCTGTGGTGCCAGATATCACAAGAAATATGCAGGAAATTTTTTTTGCCCATGAGCTTTCATGAGTGTTTGTGTATTTACTACATAAAGACAAAAAAACAGCTCTTACTCTTCCAGTGTGTGGCAGAAAAGAAAAAAGGCGGGGCAACTTCTAGGCCTTTATTTCAACAGAATCTAGACCTAGGTAAAAGGAGGATTTTCATTACATCCTTTTGAAATAGGGAGGACATGAACAAAAATACTAATTTCAATAAGATATTCAAAGTATTGATAGCATGAAAAATTTAGAGAAGCTTCAAAAAGGTAATATTTTAAGAAGATGAGCAGAGTATAAAATGTTATGACTGATGACTGAGAAACATCCAATGGATATGACAAGGAGAAGGAAGAAGAAGTGACAGCAGAGAAGCTGAAAGTCTAGAAGATGAGGCAGGAATGTGTAGCAAGTTCAGTAACAGTTACTGCATACAAACACAGGTAATGTAAGAAGTTTCATGGTCAGGGAGAAGATGTTACAAATCAACCTCTTCAGGATAGTTTCACCTAATGACTTAGTGCAGGATGTGTCTGTGTGAGTGAGACTGAGGAGGAAATTGGAGAATGCACTGAAAGTGGACGATGTCAAAGACCTAGCCTATCTTTAAAAATGACATATATATTTGAGTTTTATCATTAAAAACTAATTATACTAAAAGGGATATCATCTAGAAATTATGTAAATCAACCTGCCTTGGGATAAACTAATATCTACCATCTTGAGTATTAAGAAATGAATGAGACTCGGGATGTTTATCTAGAAAAGCTTACTTGTTTTGGATTTCAAAATAAAAACTTTTAAAAGCATAAAGCAAAATCTAAATATATATTTGTATATATATTTATATATATAAATATTGGCATTATATATATATATGAGAATGAAAGGCTAACTGAAAACAATTTCATATCATCTAGATACTTAAAATGGTTGAAAGGTTCACTTTGGTTTAAGATTGCTTTTTCTCTAGACAGTGGCACATGTTGAAAATCTTAAACACTGAACTACTGCATTTGAAATACTCAAAACTTTCAGTACTAATAAACTGGCTGGTATTCAATTTTACCAACATAAAGAACAAACCTTTGCCTTAGTACAGCGGTCACCCTGATACAAGGTGGATTACGCTTCAGACCCTGCAGTGGATAAATCTGCAAATAGTACTGAACTCCATATGTACAATGCTTGAATTTCTTTCTCCTTCCACACAATTTCATGGATAGAAGAATCATTTTTACTGTAGATTTTAGCAACCACAGCATTTTTTTCTTTTCTTATTAATTGGGGAACTTTCCCCTTTTCACTTAAAGGAAGCACTTTACAGTTTCTCTTTGGCACATCTGACTCTCTAGTATCATTACGCTTGCACTTCGGGGCCATTATGAAGTAAAACCCGGGGGACTCAAACACAAGCACTGCAATACCATGACAGTGGATCTGATGACCAAGGTGGCTACCACCTAACCAACAGTGGGTAGCAAGGACAGCATGGATGCACCAGACAAAGGGACCATTCATGTCCCAGGTGCATGGGGCAGGATGGTATGAGATTTTATCACACAACAGTGTTCTATTTAAAACTTATGAATTGTTTATTTCTGGAATTTTCTACTTAATATTTTTGGCCCATGGTCGAATGCAGGTAACTAAAACCAAGGAAGACAAAACCTTAGAAAGTGAAGTATCCAAGTATCTCATCCAATTTAGTAGAATGTGTACTTTGTAATGGCATTCACTGATGCTAAGATGAAAAATTTGCAGTCTTTTAAATAGACTGTAAATTAAATTTGACAACAGTAATCCATCAAAATTTAGTTCCACGCCAGTTGGCGCTTGACTTGCATTTGGAAAGTTAATGTTGTGAATCTTGTTCTTAACTAACTTTAGATTACCATCTCTCTACTTCTCTTTCGATAGAAAAGAATTGCATCTAGACGAAGCAATAAACCCTAACCTAGTCTAAGGGAACACTATGTATACCACAACACAAAACAAGAGTAAACCTTTATTTAAAATTGTATACCCGTCAGGTGTTCGTTAAAATCTAAATATTATCAAATAATACTTACCAATACACACATCGATTTTCCCTTTAATAGCAGCTTCATGCAGAGGAGTATAGTTCCAGTTGTCCCTGGCATTTGGATCAGCTCCTTGGCACAGTAACAGACTCACTACTTCAGCATGACCAAAGGAACAGGCATTATGAAGGGGGATGAGACCACCATCATCGCGCGCGTGGACATTAGCACCCATCTGCAATAAGTGTTCTACAACATCTTTCCGTCCAAATCCTAAAAAGAAAAAGAAAAATGTCTTAGATATTAAGTCAGTTTTGTA